TAAGATGTATAATATTGTATGTACCACAACTTCTCGGAAATTTTTGGAATCCCATTGTAGTAATCTTTATTTACATTTTATGGCCATGAGTACGGATGGTCATAAGTCATGGAAAAGGTACATGGATAACAGAAGAGAGCAATTTACATAAAGGTTAGATAATACTGAAAATTTTTACATATATAAAAATAATATTCAAAATAATTTAAATCACCCCTCCCCCTTCTTTTAACGAATAAAACAGAGAAGAAACCCTTCAGTTATTTAATTGCAAAAAAAAAAAAAAAAAAATGCAGAAAATAAATACACAATAGTAAATTAAATATACCTAATTTTTCAGGATGCTCAAAATTATTTACCATATTAAGATTTACAAAAAATAAAAATAAAAAAGCGTATACGAGGGAAGTTCTGAAAATACATTTCATCATTTTTTTCTAATCGGGAAGTTGTATTACAAAGTGAAAAAAACACATTGACATAACAAAGGGCAATACTTTCTAAACTCAGAACGGGGTGAGGGAGAAAGAAAAGTAGCAATGGCGTGCATGTTATCTTTATTCTATGGCAAAGCCATAGAATAAAGATAAGCTGTAGATCGAGATGTCCGAAATCAGTCTAGTAGAAACCAGCAGGGTAACATTATGTAAACTGAAGTCTACTATTTGACTCAAGAGAACGGAGTATTTGAGTCGACTGAGTTGTTCTCGGATAACAATGCAAGTCCTCACACAACAAGAAGCTTAGCAGAAGATATTCGTCGCTTAAGAATGGGAGCGATTGAATCACTCAATTTATATACAGGGTATTACTGAATTCGGCGGTCAAATTCAAAGGGTGATAGTAGACAGCATGGGGATGACAAGTATCGCAACAAGATACGGTTTTTTAGCATTTAGCAAAATGTATCGACATCGATATATTTTGTCGTATTGTGGAAATCAATTTCCAAAAACTGTCCTGGCAAAAATCGGTTCTCAACGATTTCAGGAAGATCTTTATAGCTTGATGTACCTGTCCTTGCTGCCAACATGACGTACGAACTTGCTGATCACAACGCTGAAAAAAGTGGAAACAAGATCGGAAAGACCAAAGTTATACAAGGTGTTGCTGAATTTAAACGACAACTTCAAAAGGGTAATAGTAGGCAACATGAGGATGACAAATCAACATAGAACATGGGCTGCAAATCACGTTTAGTTGAAAAATCGCAGAAACAGTTCTGAAGAGTGTGATGGCGAGTGGAATGAAAAGAGGTAGTAAGAGGTAAGAAATACATTTATTAGACATAAAGCATGTTTGCAATACGAATAATGCATAACAACTTGAGGTTAGAAATGCAACCGGATTCGTTTGAAAGCATCCGACAATCAATCGTTCTTCGGTGTCGGCTGTGCTATGACCTACGATGCCGCAACTTCGAATAATTCTTGTGACAACCACTTGTCGTTGCATTTCTGACATCAAGATGTGATGCATTGTTCATACTGTATAAGGTGCTTTATATTTATTAAATATATTTCTTAAATCCAACAGCCACTTTTCATTCCCTTCCACATCATACCCTTCATAACTATTTTTGAGAATTAATCCGACTTAACCATAATTTGCGACTCCATGTTCTATGTTGATTTGTCGCCCCCATGCTGCATAATATCACCCTTTTGAAGTTGTCGGTCGAATTCAGCCACACCTTGCATAAATTTGATCTTTCCTATCTTGTTTCCATTTTTTCCAGCGTTGTGGTTAGCACTGTTTGTACGTCACTTCGGTAGCAAGGAATGATATATCAAGCTATAAAGATCTTCCTGAAATCGTTGATAACCTATTTTTTCCAGGATAGTTTCTCGAAATTGATTTCCCGATACGACAAAATGTATCGATGTCGACATTGGTTATATAGTAAAGTAGCAAAAAGACTGTGCTTCTTGCTACGAGGTTAAGATATTCCGTTTGTAAAAAAATTGAGCACCTTAAACTTATAATATTAGTAAGTGAAATGAAAGAAATGCATATTTTATAAATATAATTTCATTTCTTTTACAATACGTTACACGCAATTAAATAGTGATGAATTAAAAATCCGTAGTAAAAGAAGAAACGTATGAACAGTATAAAAATAATTTGTAATTGTAATATATAATTTTAAATTGAACACAAGAATATATGAATCAATAAAATATACAAGTATTTCGTGTTGAAATATCGCAATAATTATTAAAACTGTATATACGTAAGCAATCAAGAAGAAAAAAAACGTATCAGATGCAATTATTAGTTGATATGTAACAAGCGTAAATGCGAAGAACTTAGCATTTAGAAAGTACAAAAGATTTTCTTTTACGAAATATAATGCAGACATTACTTTCATTTTTAGGCTAACAAAAGATTTTTTAATTCAGATCGCTTCTAGTAATTTCAAGGCAATGTTATTCTTTGAAACAAAACGCACATTTTTTTTTACTAAATTTAAAATCGTTTAATATATTATGCTTTTCTCCTATTAGTAAAAAAAAATGCCTTTGCATAATCAAAATACGTTCCTCAAAATAAATAACACTTTTAACCTTTCACATATGAGCTCGAAACCTTAACTAAAAATTTCTGTTCAAAGAACCCACATAGATACCGTACAATAAAAGTCGTCTTGTGACGTCTTCTACAAGCCAAAACCGATGGAAAATTGGTCTAGAGCGGCCAATCCGATGCCCCAAGAAGCCAAAGATGCCCCGAGTGACCACATACTTGGCATCTGTTCAAGCAAGTGAAGCGAAAAAATAATCTCATTCTTTCCTCTTCCTTTTTTATCCCGAGGTGCTGTGTTTCCCAAAAGAAAGTGGAGCCAAACCTTCACAGAGATCTGCTTGCTCATGACTTATAGCTGCAGAGCAATAAAGGCCATACACGAAAAAGAGATGGAAAAATATAGAAGAAATAGATACATTCGTTGGAGTCCAGCGGGAAAGGAGTACCATTACATCATCTATGGTGCTGTTTTGGCGATCAAGAAAGATTTGGAGGTATTTTTTGTTCGTATAATAAATTTATCATTGTGACAATATAGAGTCCATTAATGTCCATTGATTAATATTACATTTGGAACTGATTTGATATTGGGAAGCTACTCATTTTAAGCAAGATTTTGAAAGGACGCCAAAGAGATCTTTGCGGCCAGTGGAATGTTATCGTATTCAAATGTTATCAATCCAACTTGGCGAAATCTTAAACTATTCGGTGGAAAAAATCAGTAAAGTTCTGATATCAAATTTGTGCTACAAATATTATTTATCAGAAGTAATATGACAGTAGTTTTTCTCTCTGCTTTGCTTATCTATTGTTTCCTTTATGTACGAAAATATATTACGGTATAAAGGGGGGGAAGGTACTTTTCTTCACTTTTCTGCATAATAAATTAAGTAGGGATAGTACTACACTAATTGCAATTAATGATTCATAACATGATTATATACAATTGCAAATGGACAATAAAATTTTACTTAAGGCTGAAAAAATTCAAATATTAGACTTAAAATTTTGGGATGCATTACTAACTTGAATAATCACAAACTCATGGACGGTGTGTCGATGGGTTAATTGTATAACAATTTAAACACGACAAATAATATCTGTTGGGAATACACGCACTGAAAACAAGGTGGACTTTAGGCTACGACAAAACAGACTCGCACTCAGAGCGATATTTCTTTTCATAATACTGCAAGAAATATATGAATTAATTTATAATACTTACTCAATTTCACGATTTGAAATAAGTCACACAAATGTGGTACGTAAATGCTCCTGACATATAGTTAATAAAAAAGGATTTTACAGAAAAACTGGATATTTGATATCTTCTAGGCCAAGAATTACTTTGGTAATTGCGATTTCAGTTACACATTATAGTAAATATTAAAAACAATACATAATGAACGAAAAAAAGCAACCTACGTTAAGGAAAGTAATCCTAGTAATTTAAAAAAGGTAGCGTAAAGTGAACATTATTTAATCATTACAGAAGTTTTTTCAATGTAGTCACTTATATGCTTCCATAAATGATTTAAAAATTCTTTAATAATGAAGATAATGTACTTTTTTTTATTAAAAACATCGCATATCAATTTGAGTACAGACTATCTACCTTACGTACTTATTGATATATTTTTAGGACTAGTTTGAATGAATACAATGATAGCTTTTGCTGACAATATTGCTATACCTATTTGACTCACTAAAGGGCAAGTGAATCTGTATTGGAGAATAATTTATCATCATTATTCCCTGATACACTCGTGTCCTTTTTCAAAATTTCTTTCCAATCGTAACTTTATGCAGAGAATAATTTAGAAAACCCGAATCATATATTCAAAGAAAGGAGGGGAAAGTATAATGTCTAATATGTATACTATTTATTCATTCCTAAAATTAAAAAAAAATTAAATACCTTATTCGTTATTTTTTATGAGTTATTAATAATTGCAATAAGAAAATTTAACAAAGCCCAAATAAATACATGCATTCTATGTTTTAATTTTTTTTATAAACGTGAATAGCATTATACTTATTCATTTAATCATTTCCCCTTAATACATAGATTAAACGATGGAAAAATTATTTTTGATTTTATAACAAGGTCAGTATCTTCCGAAAAAAATGCACATTTTTGAAAAATTAAGCTGAAAACACTAATTTATTAAAGTAGAAACACTTTTTTGTATGATAATAAATTAGAGATAATATTACACTAATTATATATACAATTAATGATTCATAAAATAATTATATTCAATTGCAAAAGGAAAGAGAGCGACATTTTATATACTTAAGGCTAAATAATATTCAAATAATAATCTTAAAATTTTGGTATGCATTTCTAACATGAAGAGTCACTAATTTGTGGCCGGCGTGTCACGGGTTCGAGTCTTGAAGCCACTTAAGACCCTTCTTGTATAGGGGGCTGATGCACATTAAATCTGCCCGGGTCCAAAGTTCTCCCGGTGTCCACGGTAGCCCAGTGGTCAAGGTCTCTGACTCGTGGCTGGAATGTCATTAGCTCGAATCTAGTACTGTGGAAGACTCGCCGTGTAGAGGAGCCGATGCATGTTAAATATGTCGCGGCTCTAACATCCTTCCATTGGTGTGGTCGGAAGTTAGAAGAGGGATGTTAGATCAGTTTCGCCCACGTCACTTAAATATGGTTCATAATTAAGAGGTCCGTCGTCAGTGGTGTAACTAGTTCCGATTGGGCCCCGTATCAAAACTCCATCGGGGACTTTTTTTAAAAAAACGAAAGCCCTCTTCGTGGTATTGTAGTTGCACATGTCGAGGTCCCGTATCATTAATACGGCGGTAGCTACGCCCCTATCCATCGTCAATAGCCTCGGGCACCATTATAGTGCGACGTAAATATAATTCTAACTCCAACTCAAAGTCCTCCCGTAGGTGCGGTATGGTAGTTTGGAGAAGTTTTGGCGGCAACTCTGGTGTCATCCTTGTTAATTGACGAAGGCTCAAAATTACGAGGTCAGTCGCCAATAACCCACATGTTGCTTTAGATTGCGACGTTAATATAACTATGAGTTTCATTCTTATTCTTTCTCATAAGAAAAACGATTTCTTCAATTTCTCTTCTGGTGAGAAAATATCCTATTTCTAAACGATATAATAGATATGTTAAATATTATTATTTAATGCAATAATAAAGAAATCATTACTTCGACAGGATGAATTGAATTTCCTTTTACTCAAAAAAGCAATAATTCTTTTTTTTTTAAAAAAAAAAAAAAAACTCTAATTTAACACTTTTCATCTATAAATCGTTTTAAATGTTCCATTCATATGGCGCTTTTCGCTTCTAGTTAGCGCCAAAGCGATATTCGGCAACCCTAAAAAGAAACCTTTCCAACATGGACTGCTACACGACGACCCAATAGCTTCGGGGCCCGAAAAAATATTTCCCTCTTTTTTTCTCGCCAGGAATAAAGATATTTTTCCTCCTGCTACCTCTCGGTTACCGTTCCATTTCACTTTCTTCTGCATAGAACTTTTTTATACCGATTCTTTTTCTTCGTTACCTTCCCAAGATACATTTTTATAGGCCAAACTGCACAGTTCGTTTTTCTCTCAACTCTTTCGTTTCTACTATAGAGATATTCCTGACAATGAAATGCTTAAGAACGGAATAAAAAACAGAAGAAAGGCTTCTGAAAAGAGAATTTTTAGTTAAGAGTTGTTTATTCTTCACAATTCTTTTACAGTTGGGTTTATAAGATTTTTCACCTTTGTTTTTGTTATTTGTTTCCTGTTTCGTAAGTATTGTATAATATTTGTAATGCCTAGAACATTACTTTCTGATTTTTATTTATAGTAATATCAACTACTGTACGGACATTTATTTTAATCATGAAAAAAAGAAAAATAAATTCTTTAATTTTAAAAACTCCTCGAGAAAAAGATGAGGTAAAATTGCAACTTAAAAACATAGTTATCACGTAATACATTTTAAAATAATGTATATGATGGCAAAAGGTACGATGGCAATATCCTGAACTATTAGAAACATATCTAATAATTTTGAAGCTAGTATATTTCACTCTTCAAAGCAACCAAACCTTAACATTTCAGTACATTGGTATGGGATTAAATTTATGAGTGAATTTATTCCATTCATACAACATTCCAGTCATTATTCTCTCTCTATGATCTACTATTAGTCTAAGTTTCAATAGACGTTACTACTACAAAACTGTTCAGGTTTATACGGATGGCAGTAGAGACGATTATTATCGATCTGGGAACGGAATTTGCACCAAATCGCCAGACCATAGCTTAAGAATCCAGATCGTTGCTCAGTTTTTTGCAGTGAGCTATTAGCTATTGATGAGGCCCTTGGTTCTCTTGCATTTCTTCCAAATGGAAAAGAGTTTGGATACTGTCTGATAGAAGAAGTGCAATACAGCATTTGTCCAATTGGCAAAGTGTGAGATATAATGTAGGAGTGTCAATACTCACCAAGTTAAAACGACTTTCTACATCGCATCAAATTCATCTGCAGTAGATTTCCTATCACATAGATCTAATAATGAGATTGCGGACACTTTCGTCAAGGCTGGCGCTTGCGAGGTACCAAAGCCATCAGCACCCCTCACCTTTTTTGGAGATTTTCTCTAGAACTAAACACCAGAATAAAACCGTTCGGATTGACCCCCCAGAGCACCATTGGTATCAGTGTTGTCATCCTGGAGGCTTTCTGGCTCACGATTTTAAAAGAAAGGATTAAACTCTTCTAGCCCTCTTTCGAATTAGCCATCTTAAAACAATGAAATTTTCCGAAGGATGCAAGAGCTTTGAAATGTGCATGAACTGTTCTTCTGAGCCAGTCTCGCCTGCTCACATCCTCGAATGCCTAGGGCTCAACAAGCAGGATTTAGCAGACGATTCCTTGCTGGTGTTGGATTTTTTGAGACTGTACGAAGTCATGGATCTGGTCTAGCACTGCTGACCAATAGGAACGTGCAACAACAACAACACTACAAAGCTGTCCAAACACAATGCTTTTCAAAAGTCCAGAATTAAAACCTTGCTTTTAAAATAATTTATTAAAAATAAAAAATAATTAAAAATTAAAATAAAATAATGACAATAACACTAACACAATTACAAGTTTAATTTGTCAGAATGAAAGAGTTTCAAATAAGACAAAGAGTGTGTGGAGCCTTTTCTCTTTTTATTATTTTTTCTGTGGAGAATTAGACCTAACTTTTACTTCCTTCATCTGATGACTGACTCGTTTTTTTTAACGAGATATATTAAAGACTTCACGGTACATATAACATTTGAACTAAAAAACTAAATTGTACTAAATTATTTCCCAGAAAAATATTAACCACAATGTTTTGAATTACGGAGAGACGAATTTAATTAAAAAAATAAATAAATAACGGACAAAAGTTCAAATAAAGCTACAATAAAAATAGAAATTGCAAAATAATCCCTAATAAGCAATTTAAAAGCGAGCATAATGTGATTATTTAAAAAATTTACCTACTAACACAAACATTTTGAGCAATTTCAAAATCTGTTGGTCTAAAATAGAACTTAAATGTTAGTCTTTTATATTCCTAATAGATAAAAAAAATCAATTTGTTTCCCTGTCTTCAACATTTTACACATTCAGTATTTCTTGTACGTTAAAGGCTTTCCGAAATTAGAATATTCATTCAAATGTTAATTAATATTTCTGTGTTTTTACTATGCGATTACGATTAGATATTATTAAACTGAGTTATTATCAAAAAAAAATATAAGTCCTCTTATTTTAAAGAATAATATTTCAGCCGTTTTTAAAATTATAATGGTATAGTTTCGATGGAAATACAAATGAAAAAGAGATTATTCTTTTTTCATCTGATTATACTTAGAGAATATATAATCCTTTATAATCCTCAGTAAATATGAACTTAATAAGATTGTAAAAATGAGTACTCTTAAAGAATCAAATTCATAATTAACTTAATCAGCATGCATTTGACAAAAACATTTCGAAAATCAAATTTAACGACATGACTTTTAAAATTCATTTTTTTTTAATTAATAGATTTAGTTAGAATACCAATAAAAATTCGTCGAACAGATAATATTGAATAAGATTTACGATTAAAATCAAACATCAAAGCAAATCTCTGTCAGATAAAACATGCATATAACTTTTAAAATGTCATCAGAGAGAAAAAGATAGATTGACGTTTAAATATCACTAATTTTTTAAATAGTATTTAGTAGTATTCTTTACAAAAAAAACTATCTAAGAGTTCTGAAGATTACATGAACAAATTCCTAAGAAAGCTTATCATTAAGACAAGATTAAATTTAAATGCATTTTGGAAATAATTCAAAACAGCTAAAAAATCCAGCCAATCTCTCGCTAACTTCGTTCGAATATCTTTCTACAACTTCTTTCAAACAAATCGTTCCTTAGGAAAAAGATTTAATTTGCGCCATATTTCTTTTTAAGAATTGCTAATTTTACCCCCTCCCCCTTTTTCTTTTAGAAAAGTAGGAACGAGAGAGAGAGAGGAATCCAATCACTTCATTTTAGTCAAAATCCAACCTGATTTTTATCGTTTGCAGTTGGAATTCTTTTTTCGTGTCGTTTTCCTCGTAAAGTTTCATCAATTAATTAGAGTTTTGATTATAAAGAATGAAGGAAATGCGTTGCCATGGTGAAGAAAGGCTTTTAAACAATAACAACTTTGAACGTACTTCTAAATGGAAAGCGTCTCTCCACCCACTAGCCCAGAATTTATCTACATAGAAGATGTTTCTGGATTGAAGAGTCACATATAAAGAAAGAAAGGATATATCTTTTTGATGCTAATTAAAAGTGTTAAGACATTCGTGAGAAATTAAAGCGGAAAAAAATACATAAAATAGCTCTCAATCTCGTTACATTTAAGGAAACTTTTTACACCAAAACTGTACTTCTAAAAATTAACATTCTGCACAAACAGTACTTCCAAGGAAAATATTTATTTTTTATCGCAAAGTAGAATTTGAAATAATGTAAGTATTAGATTTCCGCAATGTAAATTGTCATAATTGGGAATTAAAAATAGAATTATTTTAAAGTTAACATGCGCACAAATATGCGGGGATATAATTAACAGTTCCAATAGCACTTTATACTAATATAAATTTTATATTTCTATATTAAGTAAGAAGTTTAACTAATGTTTTTCTTTGTTATATTTTTATGTATTATCAGCATTGGTATTTTAAATTTTAACATCTAATAATAATAATAACATAAATCCATACTCTTCTATTTCATTTCGCTACAGTCCAGCAAGAACAAGAAAATTACAGATGAAAATTGGCTGATCCGAAAACAATCTTTAAACCTGCAATCTTAGTTTCTCTGGCTAAGAGTTTGTTATTGTATTCCTGTAGCTAACTTATTTCTTTTTTTTACTTATACTTTCTGATTGTGCTTCTATTTAAACAAACACAAACTCAGTGGCGCAACAATCCATGAGAGCCAGGACCTAATGTACCCTTCCTAGTATACGTGACCAT